CTCCTCCTCCTCCTCCTCCTCCTCCTCCTCCTCCTCCTCCTCTGCCGCAGGACTGCCGGGCATGCCTGGGGTCGTCGGGCCCTGCGCGGCGGCGGCCTTGCGGCATAGTCGGCGACCAGGGCCCCCGGGCCCCGCCCGCGGCAGGCGCAGAGCAGCAGGCCCGCGGGCAGGCTGAAGGCGACGGGGGCGAGGAGGGAACAGCGGCTCGCACGTCGACTTTCGGAGGTCATCGCGGACTTCGCTCGGGTGGGTTGGGGGGGGGGCAGGCCCCCCACCCCCCCAGCAGGCGGACTCTGGACGAAACACATAAAAGAACACACACAGCAGTCGATAGTCGAACGGTGCGCTACACATGCTCAACACACAGTCAACAGACTCGTCCCCAGACAATGTGTTTGGGGTGGGGGGGGGGGATCCCATGGCGTGGGCCACGAAAATATTTCCTCTGATTTAATGTCGCCTCTTCTTGCTTCACCGCGTGTCCCTGGCCCCCCCCCCCCCCCTGGGCCGCGCACGTGCCGCTGGCCATGATTTGCGCCCCACCCGCTCTTGGACGCCCCCCTCTCTGGACGAAAAACAAAAACACCGCAGTCGATAGTCGAACAGTGCGCTACACATGCTCAAGCATGGTCAACAAAATCGTCCCCAGACAATTTGGTTACGATTTTTGGCTACTCCTCCTGTAGAGGGACAGGCACGACTTAACCCTAGGAGAGCGAACAATGGCATAAACATACAAACTCGGAGGGCCGCGGGGATTTCTCGGATCCGGGCTGGAGCCCCCTGGCGGCGCCTCCGGCGCCGCCCCTGGCGCGCTCCGTGTGCCAGGGAGTAGGGTCCAGCGCGGACCAAGAAATCCGCGCGGACCACCGAGCGCCTGTGTGTTATGTTTCGATCCCCTGTTCTCGGATCCGGCAGCTTCGGGTCGTGCTGGCTTCGGCGTTGAGTCCTGATACCGCGGAGATCGTTCAACTCGGAACGATCGGCTGTTTCCGAAACTCCCGATCGTTCAACCTCGACCGATTCTGGGCCGCCGCCGGCGCTCAACGTTGAAGGCGGGCGGCGGGGCCGCCATGAGGAACGCCAGATGTATGCTGTTCCCATCGCACTCGAGGACCACACCCCACAAAACAAGGGCGAGCATCCCAAACCGTGTCTGTCCGACGCGCTGGCGAGGTGGCGAAAAACATATACACTGACAGAGAGATTCCAGCATAGCCAAACATACTCAAACAAAACGAAGAGCACGTCCCCTGACTGTTTGGCACTCCTCCCGCGGCAAGAGGGACGTACCCGACTTCACCACAGCGCCGGGGACGGGGCGGTGGGGCCTTCTGGGCCACGGCCAGCCTCGGTCTCGCGAAACGGGGTGCCCCGACCCAGATCCACGGAGCGGCCCCGAAGGCCAGAGCCAGCCGTCCGATTGTTCCAGCCTGCTGTGTGGGGGGGGCAGGTTCTTAGTAAAGTTGGCAAGTGTTGAATCTGCGTCGGCCCTTGCACGAAGGATTGCAAAAAAAACCGAAGGATTGCAACAAAAAGGATTGCAAAAAAAACCTGGAAGGGTTTTTTTGCAATCCTTCTTTGCGTCCGGAAGTAATGAGGTTGGCAATGTTCGAATCTGCGTTGCCAGGTGCTAGTTTTGGTCCAGAAGCCGCCGGCAGGGTGGACGTGTTCGACCTAACGTTCGGACGCGCTCACCTACTTTAGGCCTTGACCGCCGGGAAGGAATTCGATCACCGAGACTACCGCATCGACGCTGGACGGCTCTCACGTGCTGAACCCTGGGATTCGATACTCGTCCGGCACCTGGCCAGCGTGTCGGACAGACACTGTTTGGGATGCTCGTTTTTTGTCGGGGGGATCTGGTCCTTGTCGGGGATGGACAGAACCCCTTTTAGAAAAACGTGGTTTAGTGACAACGACCTCGGGCCCAAGCCTGGCGGGCGAAAGCCTGGAAACTGACGGCCGCGGCGCCCTCCCGACAACTGAAAACGGACACTTCACTAATCGACGTGTCAGGGTGGGGGTTTTGTCCACCCCCGACCTTAAGTACGATGGGAACAACATGAAGCCAGCCCTGAGCCCCAATGCGGTCCCTATTTCGGCGTCTTGACTGTCAACGTTAAGAGGTCTGGGCGGATGTCTCAGATATGCGCTGGCCCCCCCCCCTGGCGGCACCTCCGGCGACGCCCCTGGCGCGCTCCGCGAGCCAGGGAGGGGGGTCCAGCGACGATCCAAGAAACCCTGCGCGGACCATCGAAAGTTGATGTTCGTGCAGCTGTTTCGCCTTCGAGACGGAGAACAGCGCGGTGAAGAAGCCCATCTGCAGCACCAGCCTGGGGCCGTCCCGCGAGGAGGACCACTGCGAGAGGAGCGCCTCGCACCGCACATTCGCCAAGCACTGGGGAACGCAAGGACGAGCCCCAGACGCGCCCGCCTGCCTGATCATCCTGGCTCCCGCCCCAGACATCAAGTATTTTCATTTGATTGTACAGTTCATCTAAATAAGCATTTAAGTAAAAATGTACAATTTTATTCAAACTTTTGACAATTAGCCCAATACGTTTCAATTCTATCATCTAAATGTTTTAAATAAAAAGTCTTCCCGCCGTTCTCGGCCTCTGGGGAAAGGGTCGGGACTTCCAGAGACCCCGAACTGGACAAAACAGGACGTCCCTGTCTGGGGCCATGCCCTGCGCCTTCCTGGAGGAGTGAGGGACGGGGCCATCGGGGGGGGGGGGCGGGGGGCTGGCAGGGCGAAGGGCAGGTCGAGAGGAGGGGGCCGAAGTCTGCAGCGCTCGCAGGGACAAGCTGCTGACCAAGAGGGAAGGCAGAGGTGCCTGCGAGGTTGGGATTTATCCACGACCACCGCCCAGGGCCTAGGGAGTGGTCGGTTTGGTGGGACGCAGGAGGATCTACTAATACTATGTGTCCTCCTTGCGGGCGTGCGCCCGACCCAAAACATATAGCACTGACATCTTGTAGCATATCGCTTCCCCAACGGTATGGCCAGAAAGCGCCCGCCACGGAGCTTATACTATAAGATCGCTTGGCGCGCACTTCGCCCAGGGGTGGGGTGGGGGGGGCGACGCACACAGAGTAGCAGTGTGTTGGGGTAGTGCCGATTCGAGGCCTGGCGGGCGGTGGATATGGATACGTTTGCCCCCCTCCTCCGAGCCCCGAATGGATCCCTGCCCACAGCCTGCCAATGTCCCCGAGGGCCGATGCCCCAGGCGGTGGTTATAGAAATGGAGCATCGCCCCAGCGCGTGGAGAGACATGGGACCAGGCCGGCGGGGCGAGGTGGGGCTGCCCAGCCGCGCGAGGCCAGCCTGACCACCGCCCAGGGCCACCTCGTCAGGAACAGGGAACAGCGACACCAACACCACCAGGGCGAGGAGATGCGAGGAGGCAAGGCGGAGCTCCCTGGTGGTATGGTGCCCCCCCCCCCTCCCCTCTCGCTCGAGACATCCCCAGCCTCCAGCTCGGGGAGGCATCGTGGGCCGCCTCGCTGGAGGTGAGCCCCCTGGTGGTGTCGGTGCCGCTCCTCCTCCCTCCGACCTCGTGCCCAGGGCCAGGGAGGAGCAGTTGGGCAGGTACGCGAGGCAGATGCCCGCCAGCACCACGGCGGCGGCCGCCCAGTGGGCCAGCGCGTAGCTGTGGCCCAGCAGCGCGCTCGACGCCACGAGGGTCATCGGCACCACGGCCTGACCGCCGGGGGCAGCGCGAGGGGGACGCCTGGGCTCCGCGGGGGCACGCCTCGGCCCAGAGGCGCCCACCCGATCGCCGAGGAGGGCCCGACGGCGCACCCCACCCGGGAACCTGCGGACTCGCCGTCGAAAGCCAATCCCCTATCTGGCGGCGACGCGTCGCCGACTCCAGGTCGAGACTCACGTCGCCCCCAAAGAGCCCGTGCGCCTCAGACCGCTCCCCCTCGGATAGAGCACCGGGACGAGCGGGCCGTTCTGGGCGCCGAGCCCGTCGATGGAGGCGACCTCCAGCAGGTTCTGCAGCGTGAAGAGCAGCGCCAGCTCCGCCCACGTTCGAACCGGGATCCGCACCTCGTCGCGGCCTCGCGGGCGGCCGACGCCGTGAAGCACGCACAGGGCCAGGCCGCACACGCACGCCTGCATCCCGGTGTTGAGCTGGTTCGTGAAGAGTGGGGCGCCCTCCAGACTATATCCGCCACCGCGCCTCCAGCACGACGCAGAGGGTCCCCGCTTCCCATGCAGGTTGAAGGAGGCCTCCGGAGAGATCCCCACGGGCATCCAAGGGACCTGTGACCTACGGCTAGGGCGCGGTGGAGGGAGAGGAGCGGGGCGCCCTCCAGACTCTATCCGCCACCGTGCCTCCAGCACGACGTGGGGGGCCTCCGGGGCCCATGCAGGCTCGAGACCGGGCCCGGACCATGACGCTCCTGGAGCTTGCGGGCGCTGCTGGGCGCTCCCCCCAAGCCCACCTCCGAGAGGCTGCCGGGAGGCCTCCGGAGAGATCTCCACGGGCATCCCGAGGGACCTGTGACCTCCAGCCGGGGCGCTGTGGAGGGCGGGGCCGAAGGCCACCTGATATTTCACGTATGAAGAGAATCGTGGACCCTACGCTGATGATCACATTGGCAACGCAGGCCAGCACGGCGTGCCTCATGGCCGTGGGCTCGGCGCGCGGCAGCAGCACCTGCGCCACGTCCAGCTGCAGGTCTGCCGCGGTGTGGCAGGAGCTCGCCGAGACGAGCCTGAGCATGCGTGCGCTGGCACATGGTGACGAACAAACTTGAGCCTGAATGGAATCGGAAGCAAAGCTAGAAGGCGCGCAACTCGGTCAGCATGGACCGGGTAGCAAACACAACAAGAAAAGCAGGACCACATCCGTTCTTAGTTGCTGGTCTGTGCTAACTGGTTATCGCGCATATGAAGTCGTATAAGATCGCAAAAAAAGTCCATGAGAGCGCACGAACATGTCAACAATAAGCCTGGCAGCAAGTTTGAGGGGAAACATGGGACATCCAAAACTTACTGACTGGTGTGTACAGACTGGTTAGCGCGTCCATGGGATGCGTTGGGAACGTTTCTGCTGGAAACTGCGCAACGACACTCACGATACACCGGACTCACTTCTATAGCGCTCACTTCTATAGTGCTCCCTTTGAAATTGTGGTCCGGAAGGGGCCGCACATGCAGGCACATGCCGCACAGTCGCATGCACATGCCCATGCAAATATACAAAAGCCTCAACAGCATTGCCGCACATGCGCGCACATGCCACACCGTCCGACGCACAGTCGAATGCACGGTCAAGCAAAACTCTGAAAGTATAGACGCACATGCCCGCACATGCCGCAGAGATGTCGCAGGCGATAGTGGCCTGACCACCTGAGCTCGGGGCATTTCGCAACCCAGAGTTCCGAGGATGTCTCAGGCAAGCGTGGCCGGATCACCATGGGGCAGGGCATCTTGGAAACCAGAGTGGCGAGGATGTCGCTGGTCAAGGTGACCAGACGACCATGGGGCAGGACACCTCCGAGGTCTGAGTTGTGAGGATGTCTCAAGCGAAAGTGGCCTGACCACCATGGGGCAAGAGATCTCTGAGGTCAGAGTTGCGAGGATGTCTCTGGGGAGAGTGGTCTGACCACCTCAGCCCAGGGCATCTCGGAGCCCAGAGTTGCGAGGATGTCTCAGGCAGGACTGGCCTGACCACCTGCTCAGGGCATCTCAGAACCCAGAGTTGCGAGGGTCTCAGGCGAAAAAGGCCGAGACACTATGGAGCAGGGCATCATTGAGGTCAGAGTTGCGAGGATGTCTCAGGCAAAAGTGGCCTGAACAGCTCAACTCAGGGCATCTCGGGCGAGGATGTCTAAAGCGAAAGTGGTCTAACCACCTCAGCTCAGGGCGTCTCGGAACCCAGAGTTCCGAGGATGTCTCAGGCGAAAGGGGCCGAGACACTATCGAGCAGGGCATCATTGAGATCAGGGTTGCGAGGATGTCTCAGGCGACAGTGGCTGACCACCTCAGCTCGGGGCATATCGGAATCGAGACTTGCGAGGATGTCTCAGGCGACCGTGGCCTGACCAGCATGGGGCAGGAGATCTCTGAGGTCAGAGTTGCGAGGATGTCTCAGGCGAAAGTGGTCTAACCACCTCAGCTCAGGGCGTCTCGAAACCCAGAGTCCCGAGGATGTCTCAAGCGAAAGTGGCCGGGCCACCATGGGGCAGGGCATCTCCGAGACCAGAGTTGCGAGGATGTCTCAGGCGAAGGTGGCCAGATCACTTCATGTCAAAGCACGTCGGCCTCCAGATTGCCGACGACGTCTCACGCGGAACTGGCCGGACGCGAACGCGCCGGCGTCCGGAGACGAACGCCGGCCCCGGCATTCTTGCACGTCCCGCACATGCACTGCACAGGTACGCACAGTATTCGCACAGGCCGAGCTCGCCGGTGGCCGAGCCAGGCCAGCGATTCCGAGATTCCCTGAGCTCGGGCCGTCAAGCCACTTTCGCCTGAGACATCCTCGCAACTCTCACCTCCTCCTCCTCCTCCTCCTCCTCCTCCTCCTCCTCCTCCTCCTCCTCCTCCTCCTCCTCCTCCTCCTCCTCCTCCTTCTCCTCTGGCCGAGCCGAACAGGCAGGCGGGCCGGCCGAGCCGGGGGCGCCCGCCTCCTCCGCCCCCCCTCCTCCCCCCCCCTCCACCTCCCCCCCCCCATCCCTGCTTCTCCGGCCGAGCTGAGAAGGCGCGCGGGAGAGTATTTTATTAGGCGGGCGCGCCACCGCCAGCTCACGAACCGGGCGAAGAACCGCCCCCGCCAGCAGCGGGCGAGTCTAAACGCACAACAAACTCTTTCAGGAAGCCCTGGCACGCCCCAGGTTAGCTCTGCGAAGGCCAGGAGGCATTGGAGGCACAGGGGTCCCAGACAGCTCCTAGGGCATGAGCGTGCATGTGCATTGGGATGTGCACGCATGTGCGCCCGCGCGCTTCACCGCATGTGCGTGCATGTGCGGGCCCGCGCGGCCTCCCGAAGAGAGGTTGCACAGGCATGTGCGTGCATGTGCCGATGACAGATCTGCGATTCTCGAACACCTCCCGCATGTGTAGGCATGAGCGCGCATGTGCGTCGGACTGTGCGTGCATGTGCGTATGATGGATACATCATAACACAGCGCACATGCCCCCGCACATGCCCGGGCACGACGTGCACAGTAGGAAGTCCATCCAAGAAGGACCGCACAGGCCTGGCACATGACTGGCACATGCCGCGCACATGCGCGCACATGACAGCGAAAAAACGGCCGCACATACACCCACCCAGGGGTATAGATGTGAGTGCGGTGTAGGCAAATGTCGGAACACTCACGCCAAAAACAGCGGCACAGCACCATGGCACTCTGGTCGACAAAATCCCACCAGCCCACTGGGCGTAGGTGGTTTAATGAACTTTGCCTTCTCTCTGCCAGAGCTCCCTCCTTCCCCTGCTCGGGGAAAAAACTAATCAATGCTCCCTATTAATGCACCCCCTCCCCGAGGCGACCGGGAGCCAACCAGGAACACTGTCGACCCTATGGTCATACCCCCAACCATCCCTCTCAAAACAATACGAAACAATCTCTGCCTCCAAATTCGGGCCATGCACAACCAACCCGATGCGGGCCCTGCCCCCCCACCATCCCTGTCAAAAACAATACAAGGTACACTTTGGGGCAAAGTCTTGAGGCATGCTCGTGGGGCTCGCGATCACTTGCTACGTCTTTTGAAAGGGATGGCGGGAGTGCCAGCAGATGGTTAGCTGTGCGCATGGCCACCATCTTGTCAAAAAACAATACAACATGCCCATCGCGGCTAAATCTGGATCGTGCGCGGCCACCCCGCGATCACTGACAAGTGGTTCTTGACAGGGACGGCGGGTGTGGTGGCGCATGGCCTGCTGCACGCAGGCCCACCAGTTCTCGACAAGGATGGTGGGGGCAGACATGTCTCCCGATGTGTGCTTTCACGCGCGCAAGCGCACCTGACACACTTTGCACGTGCCCCGAACGTGGGGCACCTCGCGCGGCAGAAGCATGCGACGCACCAGGCGCATGTGGAACAAGTGGCGCATCTGGCACACGAGGCGTGCCCGACACGCTCGGGCCCCAGCGGTGCCTGGCGCGCGTGGCGCGCCTGGCATGCGTGGCGCAAAGTGCTGCCTTGTAGGGTCTCGGTGAATCCTCGAAGGCCCCCGAAAATCTCCTCAGGCGTGCATCGGCCCTCTCTCCAGAAGTTTCCTGAGCGGGTCAACGCCCAAAGAAAGCCACCACGGCCACCTGGATGGCCCAACATTGCTACAAGACGCACCCAAAAGCACTCAATAAACTTCCAACACTTCAGAAACGTATTAATGGTCCAGGGTAGATCCGTAGAACCGCACCGTTATTAATTCACTCCTGAGGAGATGTTCGCGAATGGTACCTTCAGCACCGCGAGAATTAAAAACAACAATCGACGCGTTCGACCTGTTAACTATTTGGCGAGGGTCTTACGATGTCCTTGCGACTGTCGTCTGGATCTCGGCGAGCCTCGTCTGTCTGAATGCTGAGAAGGTTGGGCTGCCGTCTGATCCAAATGGTGAGTACTGAAAGCACGTCCAATGAACACTAGGAGGCTTCATGACCAAAGCTGGTCATGAAATCGCTTGTATGTCCTCGCCCTCTTCCTGCACGATCTTTATGGCAATGCCGAATGACAAGCAAATGTGCGTCGGCATCCCTAACGGGTGGTCCTTACGTTTCCGTCCCCCGCACGTAGCGTTACATTCGCAGAAGGGAACGCCAACAACAAGTAATACCCGTCCGCGGCTTAGCGGGAAAAAGTACATAGTCGTAGCAGTAGCAAGCGTAGTTGGAAGAGTTGTGCAAGGGGTGGTCGTAGTAGTAGTAGTAGTAGTAGTAGTAGTAGTAGTAGTAGTAGTAGTAGTCTTAGCGGTAGTCTTAGTAATAGTAATGGGGATACAAATCGCGATGGTCGGAATAAAGGTAGGTTGCATGAATACTAATAATACGACTTGTTGTAGTAATAGCCGTCGTAATGGTAGTAGTCGTAGTAGCCGTCGTAGTAGTAGTAGTAGTAGTAATGATAGTCGTAGTCGTAGTCGTAGTAGTGGTAGTAGTAGTCGTAATATTAGTAGTAGTCGTAGTCGTAGTAGCAGTAGTAGTAGTAGTAGTAGTAGCGGTAGTTGTAGTAATAGTAGTAGTAGTAGTAGCAGTAGCAGTAGTAGTAGTAGTAGTAGTAGTAGTAGTAGTAGTAGTAGTAGTAGTAACAGTAGTAGTAGTAAGGGTAGTAGTCGTAGTAGTGGTAGTAGTCGTAGTAGTAGTAGCAGTAGTAGTACTAGTAGTGATAGTAATGCAGTCATAGTAGCGGTCGTAGTCGTAGTCGTAGTCGTAGTCGTAGTAGTAGTAGTAGTAGTAGTAGTAGTAGTAGTAGTAGTAGTAGTAGTAGTAGTAGAGGTAGTAGTAGTAGTAGAAGTAGTCGTAGCAGTAGTAATCGTGGTGGGAGTAGTAGTAGACGGAGTTGTAGTACGAGTAGTAGTAGTAGTAGTAGTAGTATTAGTAGTAGTAGTAGTAGTAGTAGTAGTAGTGGTAGTAGTAGTAGTAATACTTGTAGTAGTAGTAGTAGTCGTGGGTGTAATCGCAGTAATAGTAACAATCGCAAAGCAAACAAAAACTAGTCACAACGAAAATAATCGTAGTCGTAGTAGCCGGAAACACAATAGAAGTAGTCGCCATAGTAGTGGTGATAATCATCGTAGGAATG